CAACGCATCTGCATCTTGAGTCTTTATTGAGGATAGATGTAGATGTCTATGGGTCACAGTAACCACTTACCATCAGGAGGACTGTGTGCTCGTTTGTCACCCGATACTATAAAAAAAAAACATCTACATCTATCTTCGTTTGCGAATTAAAATGCAGATGCGTTGTCAGCCGTGAGGACTAAGATAGAATGCCTCTTTTCCAGTAAAAAGGGTCTCCGGTTCTCTACACTCACCATACGAACACACAGCAGCATTAAGCTGCTATTTTACGTTGGTATTCTGTGAGAGCGTGGTCCTTCCCCGGTCGAGCCGACCCATTAGTGCTTCAACTATACTATTAATATAGCTGCAGCATGGCTCTACCACCTACTCGACGATGAAGGAAAACATCGTGAGGAAACCTGCATGACTGAGAAGAAAAAAAAATATTTCGTATGTGAAGTTCGCCAACACGTATTGAAGCAGAGCGGCGATCCTTGCACTGTTGGGACGTATATAGGCTGCAACTTTAACTTTTAAACAATATGTTAATAAAACTTTGAATGATATGGTGGATAACTACTACCTTATCATCATTACAGTCGTTTACAAGGCCACTGCTGAACAAAGGCCTCACAAGAGCAATACCACAAAGCACGGTCCTGAGCCTCTTGACTCCATCAAGTGGACTGCTGCCCTCCTACGTTTTATTTACCACTATGAGGCTGCGACTCGCGAACCTTTCTAATGCAACCGTTACTACCTTTTACCTTATGCATAGTGGAAATAAAAAATCAACAAAAGATCTTAACTATATTTAAATATAAAATATACTTTCGAATCAAGTTTATCTTGTAGCTGTAGTTGGTCGAAAATTTAAATACATTATGGTTCTCCGCATGTAGAGAAACAATAACAAATTGTTATAATATAAAATTGTTACTAGGAATATAATTTAAAGATTCAAACAAACAGCGCAACGAACGGGAAATGAAAGGCAAATTGATGAGGACCTTGAAATAGACAATAAAATACTAGATACGAAAGCTTCTGGTAGCCTTGCATGATAAGAAAAAATCGATTACTGATTTTACTTACACCAAAGTTATTTATTAGAATTATATATTTATTCATCATCATTGTTACTTCAAAGATTATTTTACTTCTTTATTTACTAATTATATTTTTAATTTATTTATTATTTACAAATTGAATGAATTAAAAAATACAAGTAAAATAGTATTCATAAAACACAAAGGTTTATAAATAATCGGCATCGGTATTTCCATTAGGATTTGATAAAGACAAAATAAATACTTAATATTTACATTATGTTGCAAAATTTTTAAAATCGAGCTAAATTTATAACTTCGATACCTTAAAATCACAGACCTAAAATTTTAGGCCACACTAATTGAAATATAATAAATGAACATTTACAACTTTATGACTTACGTTTTACTACTCGTATGCTCTATCAATACCACGGTGTACTGAATAGTGGTGAGTACTCAATAATTTGCAGACACTACTACGACCACAAGCTTATAATAAATCAGTCTTGATAATCTTAAATCTCTGAGAAAAACCAACGATAACATTTACATTAATCGAAATACCGAGGTACACTACTATGTTTTCTTTTATCAATGAACCGACGTGCAGACTGCAAAACTCGGCAAACGAAGGCAACGCGACGTCGAAAACAAAGTATCGATGCAAACCGGTCTATCGCTAGTGATACGCACGCGAACTACTTTGACGGAACACTAATTATAATCTACGCCGCTGGCAATGTTGCCAGATATATTATTTTGGATTGTCATCAATAAATCTTAATACGCAGTAGAAAATAATACACATTTATTTAGTTATATAAATTGTTTGTCTTTAGCCAAAAAAACGATAGGTACTATAATAAAATTACATAAAAGTTTTTACAAACCAAATGTTAATTCATATTACTTAATCTCCGATATAGATTAAATACCTATATCGAAAATAAAATTTCCTTGATGTATACATTATACTGTGTAACCAGCGACTCATCCTGGTTTCACCTGGGTAGGATCTATTAATGTGGCATATTATTTAGTATAAGATACTCAAAAACCATTAATTTTATCAACTTATCGCTTTTTTTGAAGTCACCGAGTTTTTCGGTTAAAATATTATAGTCTAGATCACTCCTGGTATTGCTCTCTCTCTCTCTCTCTCTCTCTCTCTCTCTCTCTCTCTCTCTCTGTTTGTGAAGTTTTATTACACTATCACTTCAGCTATTCCGAAGATTAACCCGGACAGACAGATAGACAGACCAAAATTGAAAGAATGGTTATTCATGTCTTAATAATAATATGGCGCCTATCTAGTAAAATAGGCGACAATAAATAAATTAGGCATAAAGTTGTATGGGATAACCCTCATCGGCGAAATCATGAAATGGCAGCGTAACATAAAATGCATTGGAAGATCACAGATTTATCCAATACTACGATCGGACTAAGGCACACTTTATTTGCCTTCGAGTCGGCGTCTTCTGTTTGCAAACGCTTGCTTTGCCAGGGGCAAATTGATAATGCTTCTAATCTTTTCTTTTTTTATATAGGAGAAGGGGCAAACGAGCATACGGCGCACGGCTGATGGTAAGTGACTAACGCCGCCCATAAACAACTGCACCAACAGGGGAATTACAGATGCGTAGCCGGTCTTTTAAAAAAGAGTAGGCTTTGTCTCGAAGGTACCTAAGTCGTATCGTTCCGTAAAATCGCTGGTAGTAGTCTATTTCACAAGGAAGTTGTGCGAGAAGACTTCTAGTAAATCGCACAATATGGACCGCCAACCATCCAGATGGTATCGCGAGATTTGTCGCGATAAGCGATGGTGACATTGAGCGGCTGGCATTAGTTCGAACAATGGCACTCTGCCAATATAATTGTGTATGTATTTTATTAATTTGCCATTTGTTTACGATTTGGCGGCAAATTGAAAATTGTCTGTGTCACGACAGCATGAATTTAACGCGCGAAAGTTATCGTACAATGATTTTTTATGACTTGAGGTTATTTAGGACAAAAAGAAAGTTATGATATACTTCAATTGGCCTTTCACGATGAAGCCCCATCTCGCGCCACTGTTTACAACTAGTTTAATGAGTTTAAACGTGGTCGCACTAATCTCACCGATGATCTCCGTGAGAGACGGCCTTCTACGGCCACGACTGAAGATAACATCAATGTTGTGCGACGTATGATAGAGACTGACAAAAGAGTGAGTTATCAGCAGATTCGGACAAGCTTAGGCATCGGTATGAGTCAAGTGCACAAAATCCTTCATGAACATTTAGCGGTCAGGAAGCTTTGTGCCCAGTGTATACCTCATAATTTGAAAGAGGCCCAAAAACTCCATCGTGTTGATTGGTGTCGTGATATGGTTCTAAGATTTAACGGAGGTGACTCAAATGCTGTGTTCGACATACTTACGGGTGACGAAAGCTGGATTTATTGTTTTGATCCTGAAACTAAGATACAGTCTGATGTCTGAGTGTTTCCTTCCGAGGAGTTGCCAACTAAAGTGAAGACAGGTCGAAGCGTGGGAAAAAAGATGGTAGCCTCGTTCTTCGGAAGGACAGGTCATTTCTTACAATAAAGATTTCTTATATTTACGCAAATACTAGACTTACAATAAAACTAATTTTACGGATTTATTACGTTTTAATAGGTATTTATCTATGAAATTGCCGTGCAGTACTGGCCATTTCAAATCAAAAGATCTTTGTTTGGCTGAGAATTCTCATTACAAATTAATTTTATTTTAAAAACGGAATTTTTTTTTCAAAAGTAGTAATTTGTTTATTGATTAGCGTTCTGTTTTCATCGCATTTGAATATTTTTCATCATCACGGATACGTTAAAAATTCGAGTAATTATGGAATATGAGTACCGTCGCGGCAGACACGTGGCACAAGCGGCACAAGCGTCACGCAACATCAACGACGCAACGTTTACGGAGCGAATACTACGAACGACCGCACCACTTGTTATTGGTTTACCCGCTTCCATTCTGGAAATATCAACCCAAAAATGAACCCCGTGGTCGTCCGAAAACTTTGGTCGACAATGACTTAAATATTAAAACAATGACAATTAATTAATGGCGATTGTGGAAGCTGATGATGCTCAATCCACAACTGAATTAGCATCAGCTTTCGAAGTTAGTATCAAAATAATGTTGGTCCAATTGCATCAAGTAAAAAAGCTTCAGGTAAAAAAGCTTGACAAATGGGTACCCTACAAACGCGATAATCGCCAGCGCGAAGTACCTACGCGTCGAGACGTGCCTTGCATTGCTCAACAGGCACACAAACGAACTAATTTTGAACCGCATTGTTACCTGCAACGTAAAATGGATTCTGTTTGACAATTGCAAGCGCTCGTCTCCAACCACATTTGGTCAATCACTCGTCCCCAGTGCTCCTGCACAACGCCCGATCTCATACTGCACAACAGACTGTCTACAAAAGCTGGAGTTGAAAGCTCTCCGTCATCCGCCTTACTCACCAGACCTTGCGCTTTCACAGACTTCTACTTTTCTATAATTTGGATAACTTCTTGGCGGGAAAAAAAATACAATACCCGAGAGGCAGTACAAAATGCCTTTGAAGAATTCGTTATCTCCCGTCCAGCTGGCTGATTTCTTCACGAATAGTATCAATAAACTGCCACTGCGTTGGCAAAGTTGTGTCGATTGCATGAGTGATTACTTTAATTAAAAGAAATAAAAGAATATAGAAAAAAAAATTACGTTAACTTTTATCATAAAAAACGGCAATTTCATAGGTAAACACCTAATATTTTAACTTTTTAATTCTCGTACTTTGAAGTATTGTCGTCGCTATTAAAATAATATAAACGAATAATTCTTAGTAGGAATCGGCTTTTTGCAAGAATTTGTGATTTATTATAACTGATGTAATGCCGAGGACGATTGTGTACATATGTTAACAGATTCTTCGACATCCTTACCTGCTGTGTTAAGAGGTGTAATGCCATGCAAAACGTCTTGGCATGGTTTGGTGTGTTTCGACCAGTCCTTAGCTTTAAATGTGTTGTATGTTACTTGTCCTGCTAATTCTTTTTGCTGATCATTCATGAGATTTGGTTCGTCACTGGCCAATTTTGGCTTGCCAAATATTGCGTCTGTCTTAGGATATCGGATATAGAAGAATGAGTCTTCAGGTGCTGGTGGAGAGGCGGCATACGGTTCGAACTCTCTGAGAACAAAAATATTAATAGTTATATTTTTAATTGTCTTTTATTCTTCTTTTTCTTCGTCAGTAAATGTAGTACAAGTCACCTAAAATCCCATAAAAGTCCACTGCTGAGCATGTGCCTCCCCCGTTGTAAAGTGGACTTGCTGTATTCTTTACGTTTGGAACGCGGATTTACGATCGCAGTGCCAGACATTTTGCACCTTTGATGATACTGCCACCGCTGGTCAGTATATTATATGTCTGATTTAGACGAGATGGTTATCACATTCCCACCTCCTATCGGAAGCTATAAGATTTTTGGCACATCCCATTGATGTCTTACGACACACATCAGACGCAATAGGGTGACGAATTCTCTTACGTTATTCTTCAAACCAAATTTCGATCACGGCGGCCAGTCTTATAGCCATCTACGCAGGACAGGATTTTAGTGCACAAGTGTGGGAATTTTTTTACAGAAAATCCAATAACTTGATTTTCGGTTTCACTCGGAATTTTAACCCAGGCCCACGTGAACAGCAGTCACATTTATGACCACTAGACCAACAAGGCAATCAAATCTAAATCTAACTAAATCAACGAGGATGTCTAGAATAATGTATACGGGAGCAATATCAATTTACCTAGATCCACAAAGTAATAATTTGTGTTTGTTACAAATGTTGGTACCTATTGATATTGTCACCTAGAACTCGCTAAGTATTATCCAGGTGCTCTCATCTACTCTTCTCGTCAAACCTATTAACCCACGCGGTCAATTAACACACACAAAGATACATAATAAATAAGTACATAAACTCGCACGCCGGTCACCCAGTGACGTAGGCAAAGACTACGGACTACCATTTGGCATGTTCTGACAATCGATTCTTTCACATCCATATATCTTCATACACATGCTCATCGGTAAGGGTACTCTTAATTTGGCCAAACTTCAATATATCGCCAATCTAGTCGATACACTCAGTCTTCACACAAAAAGAACACAACATATAGGTAAGAGCTAAAATATATTTGGGTTAAAATAAACCATACAGAACCGAGAGTAAGCAAATTGTTTAACTGTAATACAATATATCACTTTTGTCATTGGTATTTTTTGTTAAATGGATATAAAATTTAATTGACTAGTTTTATAAACGTTCAAGGAAACAATGGAATGTGAAAACGAGGGTACGCAATTGGAAAACGTAAAATGATTTGATTTGCTTTTTAAACAAAAAAGAGAATGCAATTTGTTCATCTAGTAAATCTTATAAGAATGGGCGGAATGAGTGTTTGAAAATAACATAACGTGACTACAGAGACCGTGGTCCAATCACAAAGGCGCGCGAGTACAAGCCTCCGCTCCCGGTAAAAAGCACATGACCGAACGAAATCGCGTAAGCAAAGGTCAAAGACAACGGAGACACAAAAACCAACCATAGCTCTATTTAAAGAATAAACACCAAGCCTGGGACATTTACTTTTATTTGCAAGTATAATCAAACTGGTAGATGCATACATTAAACATACATATTTTAACCGCATTCTATGATTATATAGGTCTTGTTTTTATGCATGGATCGAAAGCTAAATTCTGCTAATATTTTGGCAAGGGCGTCCCAAAATACCTACTGCGTTCTCAGCAATTGCAAATATAAACTTTTGTAAGTTTCAACGTCTTTAGAATGAAACAAGAAAAACTAGTCTTAAATCTATTCAACCGTCGATAATCCATTTTAATTTAATAAGAAAATTAACATACCATTTCTGCGACTACCATTTCTATATAAATAATTATGAAGAGACTAAGTGGGAGATGTGACTATTTTTTTCCTAAATGCCAACCAGCATTATTATAGTCTAATTAACGGACATCTATACAAAAATTTTATTCTATTTTTATACGTGGTAGAGCCATGCTGCAGCTATATTATGGTTGTAGCACGAATGGGTCAGCTCGACCGGTGAAGGCCCACGCTCTCAGATAATACCAGCGTAAAATAGCAGCTTAACGCTGCTGTGTTTCGTATGGTGAATGTAGAGAACCGGAGACCCTTTTACTGGAAATGAGGCATTCAATCTTAGTCTCTGTCACCTCACGGGTGACAACGCATCTGCATTTTGATTCGTAATCGAAGATAGATGTAGATGTCTATGGGCCACAGCAACCACTTACCATCAGGTGGACTGTGTGCTCGTTTGTCATCCTTATACTATAAAAAAGGTGGTGAATCAGCATTTAAAAAAGGGTGACACTCTTATCCTATAAAAAAAATGAAAAATCAGACTGGTTCACATAATTAACCGATTCGTTGCGGCACAGATTTTCGACAACTTTTAGCTGTGGCGGCGAACAAATATTTCATACACGCCACAGAAGTTGATGACACGCCTATCGTGCCATCAGCCATGTGTAAAAATAATTTTCTTTTTTATGCTTTTTTCACTTGTTTAGACCTAATTAAGTTTAGTTGACATCAAACATCAGTTACAAACGGAAGGATACTTGTTTTTAGTGGGTAACTACGTGTTTTCTAGGTGTTTTATTTGAAATTGAGAGTAAGTGACTTGTTTTATGCAGAGATTACAAACCTTTTGTACTATTTTTTGTTTTATAAAAAAAAACATTTATATAAGTAGGTACAGTTAAATCATAATGTTTTCTTATATTTACGCGAACACTACACATTCGAATAAAACTAATTTTACGGATTTTATCGCGTATATTAACTTATTTTATATTCCCGACGTTTCGAGCACTTTACAGCACCAATGGTTACGGGGGTGACTGAGGTGTATGACGTCTCAATGTCATAGTTAACCACGGCTACCTCCAAATTAAAAATTATTGAGACGACAAAACAATGGGGTCACGGGGGGACCATGGGTGCTGTAAAGTGCTCGAAACGTCGGGAATATAAAATAAGTTAATATACGCGATAAAATCCGTAAAATTAGTTTTATTCAAATACAGCTAAATCACAGTTCGCAGTTAATACCTAAGTTAATTAGATAGTAGCATAAATAAATTCAGATAGATCAGAAGACCTAATAAACATTATTTCGTGATTAAGTTAACACTAGTTTTAAGCCTGTGACAAACTCATAGGCGAAGATCAACTAAAAGATTAATCTTTCATAGATATCATTTATCATACACAAAAATATAAATTGAACTTTTGCGTTCATAACATGATATCGATACCAGAGTTTAAACTTGAGTATATATCAGATATATAAGAATACCTTACAAGGTGAATCTTGGTGTAATACATAGCTTTTTGTATAGAAGAGGAGGCGAGGAGGCATGCAGTTCACCTGATGGTAAATGACGTTTTGCTGATGAAAAACTGCAGGTGCTTAGCCAGCCTTTTAAAAGGAGTACTTACGTTTTTTTCTCTAGTAAATGCGATAGAAAATGCAAAAGTCACAACATCTCTTCGCAGCATCAATTAATCAATTCGATCAAAAATAATTCTTGTCGTCTACGATTCGGGCTGAACTTCGCTGGACGCGGTCTAGCGGAAGGACTTGGTACTTGATTGCACCAACTCAGAGATAAAAACGGTATTCCATGTAAAGCCAAACTTGCGCCTTGTAAAGATGCAAGCGGTGTGCCGGCATTAAATACTGAACAAACTAGCAAGTTATTATTTTTATTTACATCTTTTCAAAATAGTGTCCATTTACATCAATACATCGCTGCATCCGATGAAACCACTGAGAAAAGCACTTTGCCCACTCGTCATTAGGGGTCTCTTCGACGGCATATTGAAACGCATCCACTGCTTCCTCGGCGTCCATAAAACGTTTTCCTCCAAGTTTTTCTTTTATTTTCGGATATAAATAAAAATCGCAAGGTGCTAGGTCGGGCTGTAGGGGGGTGACACGGTAATTCCACGTCTGACGTCGCAAAGTAGTCCATTGTTTGCTTGGCGGTGTGCTTCGTGCGCTGTCGTGATGACGGAGGATCCTCCCACCTGCGAGGTCGATTCTTCCAAACTTTTCCAAGACAAGTGGCAAACAATTGTTAGTGTACCACTCGGCAGTAACTGTTTTTCGATCCTCTAAAACAATTGTTGCGTAATGACCTGTCCTTCCGAAGAACTAGGCCGTCATCTTTTTTCCCACGCTTCGACCTCTCTTCAATTTAGTTGGCAACTTCTCGGAAGGAAACACCCAGACAGCCGACTGTGTCTTAGTTACAGGATCATAATAATAAATCCAGCTTTCGTCATCCGTAAGTAGGAACACAGCATTTGAGCCACCTACGTTAAATTTTTTGAACCTTTTCACAACACCAATCAAACACGACAGAGTTTTGGGCCTCTGTCAAATTATGAGGTATCCACCGGGCACAAAGCTTCCTGACCGCTAAATGTTCATGGAGGATTTTGTGCACTTGACTCATACTAATGCCTAAGCTTGTCCGAATCTGCTGATAAGTCACTCTTTTGTCAGTCTCTATCATACGCCGCACAACACTGATGTTATCTTCAGTCGCCGGCCGTCAGGCCGTCTCTCACACAGATCATCGGTGAGATTAGTGCGACTACGTTTAAACTCATTAAACCAGTTGTAAACAGTGGCACGAGATGGGGCTTCATCGTGAAAGGCCAATCGAATTTCATCATAACTTTCTTGTTGACTTAAATGACATCGAAAGTCATAAAAAATCATTGTACGAAAAATTTTTCGCGATAAATTCATGCTGACGAGACAAAGACAATTTTCAATTTGCCGCCAAATTAACAAATGACAACGAAAGAGAAAGAGTTCTATTTTCAAAATTTGAACTTATTTTTTTATTATATCATTTACAAGTGGCCAGTTCTAAAAACTTTCAGTGTCGCCCTCGTATATACATTGATGCTGAAAAAACAATTTAGGCGATAACGCGCAGCCTTTTGGAACACCAGCGTTAATGGACATTTAATCAGAGACTGCATCATCTACTACCACCTTGATGCTTTGAACTTCAAGGAACCGGTGATCAAATTATGTAATTTCTTTTC